GGAAATAAGCGTCAGAAACTGGAAAGGAAAAGCTCAGAAGCCCTATGTCACTGTTGTCCCTACCCTTCAGCTCCTCTCCAGTGGAGGATTCAGCTGTGACCTGTCATCTCTTTTGGGGAGATCCAGTCACCTGCTTGGCATCCAAAATTCAGGCAGTGATAAATATCAGGTTGCCTCTGTCCTTGCACACAGCTCCCCATCCTGATGGAAACCAGAGAGGGGAAATTATCAAAATCAGATGCTTCTGTCCCACTAACCTGCTGGAGAAAAACTTTAGTGACCTGCCAAGGCATCCTCAGTCTGATGGTAGCTTCTCCAGATGCCATCCAGCTTGGAGGTGATAGGTAAAGCTCAGTAAATAAACCTTCCTCTGATGCCATGCTCATCCTAATGGCATCCCGAGGCTTCTTGGCAGCACTGTGGCACATTGACTCATTCATTGGACATGCTGTTTGTTCTCTCCTTGCGAGGAGAAGCACATGGAAGGGTTGTTTTGGTAGGGTTGTTTGTCTTGTTTTAATTATTTCCTTTGTACTATTTCTCAAGGAGTGAGCTGGCAGCAAAAGCAGATATGCAGGCAGATTCCTATGGAGAAAGTTTCCCCCTTTTTTTGCTAATAAATGGTGGAGCTGCTTCAAAGAGTGACAAAGACGATGATGCATGAACAGCTTACCATGTGCCATCCTAGGGATTATTTCTAGTAGATTTCTAGTATTCCCTCGTGAAAGAAAATCCCATTGGCCACAAGTTTAAACTGGCACAAAGTCAACGGCGTGGTCCAAGGTATTCCATGGCCTTGTTTGCCAGGGCAGATCTGAGGAGCCCTTATCTGTGGAGCCCTTGGACTAGTCCTTGCCAGCTTGGTGTCGGCATCACGGGGAATTTTGTGCCACTCAGAGGTGCCAAGCAAGCCTGGCACCTTTTTTGCTAACACTGACAGGAATTTAGCTACACCCAAAAATCAACACCTTCCCAGGGGTATCATTTCAAGACACAGGGAGTTGTAGTCCCAGCCTCTGCCTTCAGGCGGGGAAGGCTGACATTGCAACTCTGGTAAAAAAGGATAATCTGAGCAATAATTTCCGAAGGAGGCTGAGTTATTATTTCACTCAGATAAGCCCAGGAACATTGCATGAAGCTATGCACACACACCAATAGTCAAGTGCTGTGAGCAAGGGAATTCAGAGTTGACAACAAGGAGGGAAATACCACTTTGGGGGATTGAGAACATTCATAAAAAATTCCTGGCTCCCAGCCTAGTCCATCCCATTGCTGACTGTGCTCTCAGTTATGGAATTTTGCTTTGGGGATGGATTTCTAAGGAGGTTTTACCACTTTGCTGCAATAAAAGGACAAAAAGGTGCATCTTAACCTTGACTAGTGAGTGCTGAGCCTTCAGCCGATTGAAACTCATCTGGCACCGTGAGGTTTTGCAGGGCTGTGCTAGCTTGTCCCCGAGCCTCTGGCTCACTTCCTTGCCGGAACCAGTGCAACAGCTGTAGCCTGAGCCCAGCAAGATGTATGTGTGGAAATCGTGCTGCTGACATTGAATTTTAACTTGTGGGTGTCCAACACCGCCTTTTCCAGACCATGGGAGTTGAATTCCCCAAACTCGGAGGAGAACTGGCCAGGAAACGTGGGGTTAAGATGACACTTCCCACATGGCCCCACTACATAACTTTAACTCTGGCCCCCAGGGGATGGCAGTAGGAACTGCACAGGATCTTATCCCTCCTTGGCTGTACTTGATACATTCCCTCAACATAAACTCAAGATAGCAACATAAAGCCAAGGGATTAGAAGGCTATGTCTGTGCTATTAAAGGAAGGAGGTTCATGGGTTTATCCATGGTCCTGAGGTGGATGGCCATGAAGGATGGAGAAGCATCTTCCTTTTTGGTTTGTGGACAGATAGAGTTGAATATCTTCGATCATGATGCAGGTGGGACTGATGCCTGGAGGCATCCAGATGGAACCACATAGAGATTATTCACTAAGTGCCCTGCATGGATATGGGAAAGGAGCTGGGAGCTTGGAAGCTGGGCACTGCAGCATGGCAAGTTGAAATGGCTTTGGGATCTCTGGCTGCAGAAGACCACACAGAAGACTGTGCACTCCTGGCATGTGAAAACCACTCACTGTGGTTCACTGAAGGCACACTTTATAATAGCTCTCACCCTGCATGCCTTACCCTCATGGGGACCTTTCTGTACTTCAAGCTGATGTGATGTCCTGACCTTTCCCTTAGCATGTACTAGTCTTCAAATACCATTTTTCTGCCTCCATTTCCTTTCTTGCCTCTTTTTCTACCCCCCCAGCAGGACCCACTGTCAGCGTGTGACCTGGGCACATGAGCTGTCATTTATTCAAGTGCAAGAAAACTCCACAACATAAAAAATCCGTAGCAGTCTTGGCAGTCTCCTTCTACGGGATTTATCTTCCCAGCCCTTGCAATACCCTTCCAGCCCTTCAAAGCAATCCGTCTCTCACCTACTATTACAGAGTTCATCTCACAGACCTAATGGAGTACGTGAGTCCTGAATTGGCTCCTGCTAATGCTCTCAGTGGCCAGGTCGCTGCGGGAAGCGAGCTGGGAATTCATTTTGAAAATCAATGCAGATGCCAATAGAGTGGCTTTCCCCAGGGAAGCGACATGCTTTTACTAGGCATTGCCTCCTGCTCCCCTTCGTTCCCCATTTTCATTTATGCGGTTGGAGTAACCATGGAGTAATTCATCCTGATTTCAATGAGCGCACCTACTTGTGCTGTGCTCTCCAGTTTCCCCAAATCAGACTGATTTTTGGGAAAAGATTAGAGTCTCCTGGCAGTGCAGGATTCACAAAGCTCCCCAAAGTGTTGTGATTTGAAATCGCTGTTCTCTGGGGTGATGCTGGGGACTATCTCATCTGTGCAACCCCATCTCTCCCCTTAGGCTGTGTTAGCACAAAAAAATCATTGCAATTTCTCAGTCCTGGATATATTTTGCCCTGCCATGACATTTCAATGCAATGGCAAATGCAAAGCCTGAAGGGATAGTGTGGAAGGACAGCTCAGGGCTGTTGGAGGGACCCCAACCCATTGCAGTTCATATTGTCCCTAGAGGTGAACTTCATGCTGGGATGGAGAAACAACACTAATCTATCATCCTCACACTATCCTCAAGGAGTCTTGGCCAAAGCACAATGTCACAGGCAATTCCTGAATGTGATTTTGGAGGTAGCAAGATGAGGAGTTCCTGAGAGGCATTTTAGATACAGCCCCCTGTTTTTGATGGCATTGTGGGTTTGGGCCCTCTCATTCTGGTTGACCTCAAAGCACTTGATTTGGAACATTTATTTGGGATTTTCATAGCTCTCAAGACTCCTTTTCCAGTGGGAATCATTCTGCACTGTTGTTGGATAAATATTTAATAAGAATCAGGGTCAAGGCACTGTTTTGTCCAAGGACACTGGGATGGCCATTTACTCCCTTGAAGAGCACCAAGGGATCATTAATATCCATGTGAAGAAGACAGGAATCAGAGTTTTAAACTGTCATCCCCCACCATTAATGTCAGTGTTAAATATTGATCCTTTCTGTGTTTAGCACAAACCAAACAACAGAGTCAAGCCAAGCTCTTTGGCTTCTATTAATGTACTTTTTCTGCATCGGGTGAAGTTTGCAGTAACACCAGGGGAAAAAAATGTAGCAGCAGTGAACGAGCAACAGACAGATTGATTTTGTATCTTGACACGACTCAGAAGTTGGTAAAAAATCACCCTGTGTGAAGCATCTTGTTGTCTGAGCCATAAGACCCATTTCTTTGCAGTGTAAGAGAATCAGGCTCAAAATTTCTGATGTGATCTGGAATTTGAGGGAAGGAATGGAAAGGAAGAGACTGAAACCCTTTAAAATCCCCTTCATCCCTGTGCTGGAGCATGGGTGTCTGAAGTCAAATTTGAAGAGCAGGTGGTCATCATGCTGGGGAGCAATCCCAAAATCAGTGGTGGCCAGAGATTGGGTGGATTTCCACTTTTTGTTAGGAGTTTGGGTTTTCTCTGTGTTTTACATCAGCATCAAATAAATGTAAATCACAGCTATTATAAAGTGTGCCTTCAGTGAACCACAGTGAGTGATTTTGACATGCCGGGAGTGCATGGTCTTCTGTGTGGTCTTCTGCAGCCAGAGACGGATCAGCTTTCCCAAAATATTCTGCATCTTGAGGGTTTTCTGGGATTTTGGGTTTCGGTTTTGGTTTGTTTGTGTTGGTTTTGTTTTCTTTTTTTGTAATGAGGATTTACAACTTGGCTGTAAAAATTCATCTGTGGTTCAAACTCATGAAGCACAGTTATGAGAGGACTAGAGTAGCCAGGTGATTATTCCTGACCTCTGGGGTATTCTCCATTGAAATTAATTTAGTATTTTAAAGTCTGTTTCTCCTTAAGCAGGGGGAGCGGGCACTAGGAGTCATGTACTGGCTCTGCATCCAATTTTATTAGCATAAAATAACAGGACCTCTCTTGAGGCCACAAAATTAGTAGAGAAGTGGGAAACATGAGAATATTTTTTCATCTCCACTGCTGTTGTGTCCATCCAGATTCCCACCCTGTACCTCATACCAACTCTAAAGGGATGGCAGTGATGCCCTTACACAGAGGGATGAGGGTGACTTAAATCACATCTCACTGTGGTGTGAAAGCTCCTCTCTTTGTTTTTGAATCAGGTTTTAACAACCCAGCCGACATCCCGCAGACATCCCTACAAACCACTAAGCATGTGGTGAAATAGGATAAAATGATGAAATATGATTCTATGATAAAATATGATAAATATTTATTTCCATACATGGTACCTATAGTTGCATGTGCTCCAAGTAGAAGAGCTGAGAGCATCACTTCGAGTCATAAGCCAACCCTACTGACCTCCATAAATGACAGAATACTTAAGTAAGGAAAATCCTGGAAGCACAGGTTGTGGAGTATCTCCATCTGCCACTCACATGTCTGTTTTCTCCCCTCACAGACACCCTGAGGAGCATTGCCTCCATGAACCACGCACCACGGTCCTCCCCGGCAGAGCTCAGCAGTGCCAGCCACCACCTGCTGCGAGAGCGCAAGTCCTCAGCACCATCCCACTCCAGCCAGCCCACCCTGTTCACCTTCGATTCACCTGCCAGCCACCTCCAGAGCACCCTGTCTGCCAGTGCCCCCCAGGACTACCTTTTTCTCCACCAGTGCATGAGCAGAAAGTCAGAAAATGCAAGGTATTGTAGCCCACCTGGGAGCAAACCTCAGGGACAGCTGAGGGAGGGCTGGGTATCAGTGGCTCAACCTCCCTCCATCCTTGGAGATCTGCAAAACCCAGCTGCAGAAAGCCCTGAGCAATGGTCTCATCTCATCGTGGTTGGGAGGAGGAGGTCACAAGCTCCCAGCTTTCCTGGCTTTTTTGGCTTGTGTTAAAAACTGCCTGAATGGCCAGACCCAGAGGATGGTGATCAGTGTCACAAAGTCTAGGTGGAGGCCAGCACTAGAAGTGTACCCAAGGGGTCAGTACTGGGTCCAGTTCAAGGGGCCATAGAGTTGCTGAAACAACTGGAGCATATGTACTAAGAGGAAAGGCTGAGAGAGCTGGAACTGTTCAGCTAGTAGAAGAGAAGGCGCAGGGGGGTCCCCCCTATGGGGAGGGTGCAAAGAGAATGGAGCCAGGTTCTTGTACGTGATGCTCTGTGCCAGGACCAGAGGCCATGGGCACAAACTTAAGCACAGGAGGGCTCCTCTGAGCAGCAGGAAACACTTTTTTACTGTAGGTGACTGAACAGTAGCACAAGTTATCCAGTAAGGTTTATGAGTCTCCATTCTTGGAGATACTCCAAAGCTGTCTGGGCACAGTCCTAGGCAACCAGCTCTAGGTCACCCTGCTTGAGCAGGGGGTTAGACCAGATTACTTCTACAGATCCCTTCCAACCTCAACCGCTTTGTGATCCTCCAGGCAGGGCCTTAACTCCTGCCTTTAATCAGAAAAACAGCAAACAAAGGGATGGGCAGGTTTTGCACCCTTTGACAGTCACCCCTTCCAGAGCTCGCTGGGCTTCATGGCAGCTGGTGGTGCACAGCGTGGTATTTCTGAGCGAGCAGCAGCTCTCCGCCTCCAGACCCAGCCGGTTGCCTTAAATAGCGAGGAGTTTTTTTGACGTGAAGAGTTTTGGCTCGCAGGAGCAGTGAGGAGGGAGGGAGGGGAGAGACAGTCAGAACCCAGCTGGCATGGAGTGAGAGCAGAGCCTGGGCTGCAGCCTCCACTGGGCTTTCCTGCTGCAGCTGACTTTCCCTACTCGAAAAACAACAAGAGAAAAAGGCTCAGAAAAATTAACTTCACATGGAGTTAATGGAACAGTGTTTAAAAAAACAGCCCTCTGACGCTCCAGCTGTGAGGATACCTAAAAGCCACCCTCTGAGAACCCAGATGTGGCTGGGACCCAGAGGAGAAGGGAACAAGCACCAATGCTTTGGTGAGCAGAAACAAGCTGGCCAGTGGCAGCGTCTGCAACTGGGCCAGAAGTAATCATCTGATCAATGCCCAGTGCACGGGGCCAGGCTGCAGGACTGCTGGGAATCCCTCCCCTCTCAGCTCTGGAGCTCTTACTTTACTCATCCATAAAATGAGGGTAATAGTAGCTAATTGGCAGGCAATGCTGAATAATTAACCCATGATGTTTCAAGTCCTTGACCAAAACGACCCTGCCAGAACTGAGTCCTCCTCTGGGTGTACTGAGCTCCAAAGGTGGCAGGGACTCATTTGTCTTATCACAACATCACTAGCTTTTTCCCCAAATAAGCCCTATTTCTGAGCGCCATCTCGTGCTGGCTCCGTGAAACAGAGTCCCTGTTGTCCCGGCAGAGCATCAACCCCGTCGGAGTGGGAGTTGCAACCAGCATCTCCCAGCTTTTCCCATAGGTCTGGCACTTTCCCAGTGATTTGCCACAACTGAAAACTCCCCCATAACCCCTTTCAGTTTTTCTCACCACCATGACTGATACAGGGCAGGAGTCTCTTCCACGGGGGAATGTCTGTGTGGGGCTGGCTGAGCCCTTTTTGGGTGGGAGTATGTGGCCCCTAAAAGCCTGACCCATGCATGGTTATAACTTTGCAGGCAAAAAGACCCAATCCAGGGCTACCTTTTACACCCTTGTGGTGTGTATTCATTAGGTCTTCATGTAAATCAGCAAGGTGACAAAAAGGAGAAGCAGAGTTCGCTGCACCCCAGGACCAGCTCTCCCCCCATCTCAGCCCCTTTGTCCCCTTCCTCTGCAGGAGTGCCAGCTTCTCGCAAGCCACACGGTCTGCCTTCTTCATGCGGAGCGACACAGCGGTCCAGAAGCTCTCTCAGGGCAATGGGCACTGCGTGAATGGGGTTGCTGGGCAGCTCCATGGCTTTTACAGTCTGCCAAAACCCAGCCGGCACAACTCGGAGTTCAGGGACAGTGCGCATGATCTCCCACGCGCCTTTGGCTCCTACACCCACCCCAAGTCAAGCCTCACCAGCTCTGAAACAGATAATGAGGAGGTCTACACCTACAAGACTCCCAACAACACCCTATGCAAGGAGTTTGGGGAGCTCTCCACGGACTCCTATGACATCCCTGCCACCCCGCTCTCCATCTACCAGATCCCCAGGACATTTACACTGGACAAGAATCACAACGCTTTGGCTGTGGCCGCCAGCGACTCACCCGCTGCTCCACCCCCACGGCCCCCGAAACCCGGGCAGACGGAGCCACGATGGGGCAGCCCGCCCCAGCGACTCCAGCCCAGTGAAAATCTAGGTCTGGCCCCCATGGCAGCCACCATTCCACGGAGAAACACATTGCCTGCGGTGGAGAACAGCAGATTGCACCGAGGTGAATTTAGGAGTGGGGAACTGGGGGTGGCTTTGCCCTGTCTACCAGCCTTGGGCAGATCAGTCCCACAGGGTTGTGGTAGGGCTGGAGTGCTGGTGGCATCAACCGGGGGTGGGCACAAAGAAGCTCTCCCCAGTCAGGATCTGGTCCTGTTTTTTTTATTCAGCGGCCATGGAGAGGCATCCACAGAGTTCTGTCCACCACAGCTGCTCAGCTGACTATTGCCTATGTTGTACCTTGAATCAAAACCCCAAACCTGCTTGCTTATGGAGCCCCTCACCAGATTTTTGTAATCTCAGCTATTTTTAATTTGCCTTCAATTCATAATGAGGTTTATCAAAACATATTTCTGCCTTGGTTTTGCTCACCAAGGTGGGTGAGCAAAACTTTGGTTTTGCACAGGTTGCACATCACCTTGGTTTTGCACATCTCCAAGACCCAATGTCCCCAGCACAGCAGAGTTGCTGTTCCCATTGGCCATGAGTGGGCCATGGATGAACATGCACTTTCCAAACCTTGTACTTACAGTGACATAACTGCAAACTTAGAAAAGGGGCTTGGAGAGAAAATGCACTGTAAATTTTACATATAGCTCTATGAAATGCCTCTTCCATCTCCCCCTACCTAAATGCCAACATTTAGGCTGAGATCAGACCCATGCTCAGCAGTAGGCAGACTTATCTAAGAGCTTAGCACTTATCCTCACCCCATCCTTCCCTTACTGGAGGCTGTCAGCCCCTAGATCTGCTGAGCAAGCTCTAACAGAGCTCTCCCTTAAACCAGTTTTGTCACCATGATGTACCTTATCTGACATCTTCACCCCTGGGATTTTGTGGTACTTTGACAGAGCTGGGTTAGGTCCACACAGCACGTGCAGTTGTGCTGATGCATCAGAGAGATGCTAATTGGGAAGGAGCACAGCAGAGATCTGTGACAGACTAAAGACCATGTCTTCTCATCAGCATCTTGATCAACAAGAACAGACACTGTCCTCACAGTGCCTTGTTTTCAGGGACCCCTTTTTATTGGCAGTTGTGGTGGGACAATTTGTGCATTTGTGATTATGTTGCAGCTTCTTCTTGCGAGACGTACGAGTACCCCCAGCACGGGGGCGGCAGTGCCGTGCAGTCGGTCGAGTCCATGAACGATGGGTACAACTCCTACCTGGTGAGTGGGCCTTGATGTTGGCCACCACACTGTAGGCACCCACTTGCACCTTACAGATTTAGGAACAAGTTGGTTCCAGGTTGGACCTCACAGCCCAGTCCTGCAGAGCTAAGTCAAGAAGGGTTTTATTAATGATTTCAGTTAAAATCATGGTGGCCTGCCGGGAACAGATGGAATTGCAACAGCCTAAGCCAGCACCGCAGGAAGAGCTTTGCTTCCACACAGTATATCTTTCTGGAACTTTGGCCCCAAAAAAAAGTGCCCAGGAGTTTGACTTCTTCCTTAAAACCTTGGATACTTCTGAGTTAAATTTTGACACATTGCCAGAACAGCCTCTTTTGTGCACTTTCTAAGATTTCCTGAGCTGGAAATTACATTAAAGCAGCCTTTCATATTGCATTTTAGTCACGATCAGAGCCCAGGCAAGAAAGGTTTTCCAGGTTAAGCATGTTTCTGCAGCTCACTCTGATCATGAGAAGATGATCAAATCTGGGCTCTCAAAACTTAGGTTGCTGCAATGTCTTGGAAACTGAGAAGGTGGACCGTCTCAGTGCAAACTGATGGCCAAGGCGGGGACAGACCATCCCTTCCCTCTGTGCTTAGGTTTTAGAGCAGTTCCCCTTTCAGATGTGTATTCATTTATGACGAAATGAAGGGTTTATAGTGTGTTGGGGTTGAGCAGAGTCTGATACTTACAGCACATCCTCCCTCTTGTCCCCCAGCAAGCCAAGGCGGCAGTGGCCCGCTCCCACAGTACCGACTCCGAGGACAACTACGTCCCCATGAACCCTGGTTCCTCGCCCCTAATCCATGCCGAGAAAGCCAACGACAACGCCCAAAACCTCTACATCCCCATGAGCCCTGGGCCGCATCACTTTGACCTGGTGGGGTTGTCCTCAGCCACCCTTCCTGTGCATAAAGGAGGAGCCATGATGCAGTGTCACAGACGACTGAGTGAAATCCAGCCCCCACCTGTCAACCGCAACCTCAAACCCGACCGGAAAGGTAGGAATGATTGTGGGAAAAGCTTTACAGGAGTCCCTTTATTCTTCTCATACCGCAGACTACATCTGTCGTCTTGTGCACAGTTCTGGGTGGGGTGCACTTTGCTACTGCCAGCACAATCAGACCTTCAGATCTCCCCCATCCCCTTCATCTTTCAGGAGCTTTATAGTACAAATGCAACTTTCATGGTGCTTGAACAGCCCATATCAAGCCCTTCCAGGCATTTACAGGAGATATATGTCACAGGCAGGATCTCACCCCCTTTGCCTATACCCCTCCCTGTACTCCACCCCGAAATCTCAATGTCTTGTTCAGATGACTCAAATTTTTCCAGCTGTTTCCTACTGGTTGTTTCTAGGCAGTTCTTCCTTCAGGGCTTTGCCAGTATCCCCCAATTCCCTCCCCAGTCCGTTACCTGACAGGTCACCAAGGAGATCATGAGGAGGAGGGCTTTCATCATTAGGGTGTCCACACCTAACCCCATCAACACTCTGAACAAGGACTGGGGCTGGAGCATAGCACTCTTCCACAGCTTTCGTGTTACGCTGCAGATGCCTTTTCCCGTGCCCTGTGGGAAAACGCTCCAGACAAAGGTAGCTCAGGGTTGGCAGAGCCTGGTCTTGTCCCCATCTAACGAGTTTTCATAGCTCCCTGGTGAATGGGTTTCTACTCTGGTGTTTGGGCATTTTTAGCAGACCTTCATTCTCTGGGAGGCACACTCACCTTTTGAGACCATCCATCCACTTTGGGGCTGTGGGTCAGGGAGATAAATTCACTGTTTTCTCTCAGTCCTGGCATAAATGTGTGCAGGGATTTTTGCTGGGGGTATTTGTCATCAGCAAGAGGTCTGGGGGGCTGATTAGCAGAATGGGAAGTAATCGGCCATTTGTTGGGGACCCTCTCATGCCAGTCGTGGATGCTGAATTCTAGGAACGTGCTGCCTCTGAATAAAGGCTTTTCCTCCCTCCCAGCAAAGCCATCACCACTGGACCTGAGGAACAACACTGTCATCGATGAGCTTCCCTTCAAATCACCAGTCACAAAATCCTGGTCCAGGCCAACGTGAGTAATGGTTGGGGGATGAATTCTTGCTCTGATCCGACAGCAGCTCTCTGGTCTTGCTCTCACTGGTGTCCACATGTAGCCATGCTGTCACCTCTGCCATAGGTTCCCTATGTCACAGCTGGTGGCAGAAAGATAAAATCATTTAGGTTGGGATTTCACATGAAAGCCCAGCATGTGGCTGAGCCCAGTATGTGGCTGAGCCCAGCATGTGGCTGAGCCCAGCATGTGGCTGAGCCCAACATGTGGCTGAGCAGCTAATTAAGATCCCTTGAAGACATTTCCTGTTTCTGGGATCTGGAGAGATACAGCTCTGACATGGGACCTGTGGTCCACCACAACTCATGACCCAGCTGACCGAGACCAACTGGGGGTGTGGGGCATGATTTCACATCCAGGTATCCCCCCAAAAACCCCGCTGTAGTCTCAAAACACAGGGTGACACTCTTGGGGTCTGACGAAGACGTGCTTTGATTGCCTTGAAAGCAAAGCCTAGCCTGAAGGAAGTCTGCAAAATTAAACTAAAGCTCTTCAGAGCTATGTCTGCCGGCCAAAAATAACAGGATTCACACAATTCCAGCTCTGTTGCTAATTCACGGTATGATGTTGTCCAGTGAAAGGCAGAAGCAAAGCTTGGCTGCTATGACTTCTCTAATAAATTGGATTGTGTGGAGACTGACTGCAGGGCATGAGCGCTGTGCGCTGAAATCACTGCACGGGGAAGTGGCGAGCAGGGTTTGATTGACAAGATGTCCGACCCCGGAGAAGCTAATGGATTTTTCCCTTATCAGCTAATCATATGACCCTGCTTTACTGAAAGGCAACGAATAGCTTTTTAAGACACAGGCTTTAATGCCAGACACTGATTTCATTATTCTGTTTGGTATAATTAGATTTGGCCAATTGAAAGCAAGACAATTCCTCAGAGGATTTGTTTTACAGCAAAAAATTTGGATAGGGCCCTGTACAGTAAACAAATCCTGTAGCTGTGGTAAGGCTGGAGGTGAGAGGCTTCACCAAGGCTGGCCCTACATCCTCCACAACTAAATGTTTCCTGTGAGATAAAAGAGTTCATGGAGCCTGGTTTGTGTAGGTGATAGCAGGAGAATTACAGGTACATAGCAAGCAAAAAATTCTAGAAAGAAAAGAAACGGGAAGACCAAACCCAGTGATTTCTGACTCATGGAAAGGATGGGTTGGAGAACCTCAATGCCACCAGCTCTTCTTCATGCCCAGTCCTCAGGCTGGAGGATGGTAATGTTTTTAGGCATCAGGAGCTGCCCTCCTTGGCAATGAACAAGCAGCACCTGCCACCATGGATAACACATGGACCCTTGTCCTTACAGCCAGACGTTCAACGCGGGCTCTCTGCAGTACTGTCGCCCTGTCTCCTCCCAGAGCATCACCAGCACTGACTCGGGAGACAGCGAGGAGAACTACGTGGCGATGGTAAGGGCCCCACAGCTAAGACAGATGGTCCTGGCAGGACATACACATTCCACAGCTCTGCAAACACATTCCTAGCTCATGACATGGAGGTGCTCAGATAGGACTGTGCAATGTCCATCCTTACATACACCCCTGCATGCACAAAACAGTGTGCTTCGTTCTGAAAATGACATGTCCCGTTGGGGTTTTAAAATGCATATGAGAGCAAAACATATATTACCTACTTTACCGGGAATTAAGAGGGGATAAAAATGTGCAAGAACTGTCAGGGTGTATTTTCCTAATTGAGGTTGATTTTTTTCAAGTTTTTTTCCCCCTAATATCTACTGGCATCGTATTTGTATGGAGGGCAGGGGCTATCAGAGCAGCAGCAGGGAGCGGCACTGCTTACAGGGAGGGGATTTTGTCTTTCTTGGTGGAGCTGCTGACTTAAGCATATTTTTGAGTTTATGTAACTCGTGGGGTAGAGGAAATCAGTGCTCTGTGTAGCATGGTTGTGATTAGCAAAGATCTCAGAGCTGGCCTGGCCTCACTGAGGTGTGGTTCCTGGGACATGCTAAAGCCCACATCTGTTGTCAGGCATGTGAATAAAATCAGCACAAAGGCAGAAGAACTGCTCCAATACATGAAATCAAGGGCATGAGCTTGAAATATTTGTTAGCACAACATACAACAGATGTAGTCCCCCAGCAGTTCTACACACCCTGGTCCCAGAGGCGGGTGATCAAATATCCAGGCTCTTTTAAATAAGTGCCACCAAGGCGTTTTGCTGCCAGATTTGTGTTAATTCCCTTTTTTCTTTATTCCCATTTTAATCCTCATTATCTCTCCTGTCTCTTCCCTGCATTAGCAAAACCCCATTTCTGCTTCTCCTGTTCCTAGTGGTACCAACAGCCCAGCGCCTAAAAAGAGTTCGGGGAGTGTGGATTACTTGGCCCTGGACTTCCAGCCAAGCTCTCCAGGGCCACACAGAAAGGTATGGGGGATTTTATAAACTTCTGATTAAAAGTGATCATTTTTAAGGAGTTCTATGCACACTGACAATAGCATGGTCCAAAGTCCTGTACCGTGTTCCCAAGAGTCTATCATGATCAGAGAACTGGAGCACCTCTGCTGTGGAAACAGGCTGAGACAGGTGGAATTGTTCAGCCTGGAGGAAAAAAGGCTCCGGGGAGACCTTAGAGCTCATTCCAGTACCTAAAGGGGCTGCTGGAGAACTGGAGAGGGACTTTGGACAAGGGTATGGAGTAAAAGGACAAGGGAAAATGGCTCCAAACTGATAGAGGGTGGATTTAGATTGGATATTAGGCAGAAATCTTTTACTGTGTTGAGGCAGTGGCACAGGATGCTCTGAGAAGCTGTGGATGCCCCATGCCTGGAAGCGTTCAAGGTCAGGTTGGATGGGGCTTTGAGCAACCTGGTCTAGTGGAAGCTACCCCTGCCCATGGCGTGGTTGAAACAAGATGATCTTCAAGGTCCCTTCCCAAGGTCCCAAACCATTCTATAACCCCCACTGCTATATTTACTCTAGGTCAGACTTAGTGTCTCTTGCATGTCTGCAGCCCTGCTGGAAGTGTCACCAGAAGCATGGGTGTGCAGGGGTTCAGGGGTGCTGATGAGACCAGAAATTCAGCTGGCGATTGTATTCAAAAGCCATCAGGAGGTATCCCCAAGAAGTACCGGAATATTTTTTCCTCCTTCAAAGCAACACATCCTCCAAAACTAGACTTGGGTTTTCCCCTCACCTGAAAGTATCTGAAATACTTTCAGGACCTTATTCAGAAAATGCTGGGAACCTGTCTCCTGCCAGTCAGGTGCTTTCAAAGGGTGTCATTTGGGCAGGAGAAGAACTGCTTTCAAAAAATTAAGCTGACCTTTAAAAGTTAAATAATGTTCAGCTGATCAAGCCATTGCCTGTTGAGGAAGAGCTGTGGGGAGATGGGTCAGGAACAGGATACTTCTGTCAAGTGTCATGGAAATGTGGAAAGGGAAGCTCCTAAAGACATAGAAGTTAGTGACTTTTCTCCGGGTTCATACACAGGGGAAACAAACACCATCTTAAATCAAATCATAGAAAAACAGGGCAATGAAGTATCCCAGGACCTACATATCCGAAGGGAGCTATGTCTCCTGAGGTGATAGACGAGACCTAAAAGTCTCATGGAGGTTTCACATGCAAAGCCATATACCAAGATGAAGAGGACACCCTGAGGTGACAGAGTAGGCTGGGCAGGAAACAAAGGCAGGTCCTGCTGGATGCCATCCTGAGGAAACTTGGAGGGGAAAGGAGGGACTGACTCAAACAAAGCAGCATCTGAGTGAGGGGACAGTGGAGGACAGGGATTGTATAAAGCTTTGTGGTAACCACTTGTGAGTTGGCCTCACTTTCCCGAACACTGCATTGTTCCCTAGGCAAAGCATCCCACTGGTTAGATCTTTTTATTATTTGACAGTTGTCCCTTGATGGTTTCTGTCTGCCCAGCAATATTTTTGCAAGTACTACCCATTTAAATTATATCCCATCCTGGAGAAGTGATTTTAGACCACTTTAAAACAATATCTGGTCCAGCTGCAAGCAGATGGAGGTCCTTTGAAATGCTTGTAGAGGCAGAAAAACCTCTAGGACTCCAGAAACTATGGTAAAAAGTATCTCCTTCTTCCTTAACATGTCTCCTGGGTGAATCTGCAAACATATCTGTTGTTCTGAGTGTGAAAATGGGTTAGTGCCATAGGTGGGTAGAATCAACAATGCTAAAAGGAATGGAGCTGGGATTTTTATGTGTATCTGTAAGAGTTCTGAGTTCTTTACAAAAAAATGAGAAAGATATAAGGCTGAATTTGCAATATCAGCAGTTAAAGAACAAAATTGCAACCAAACATCTGTGTCCTAGAGTTTGTGGGAAGGTGCCGTTTCTGCCCTCCCACTGCACCACAGTTTCACGCCAGCAAGAGGCAGAGCAGACTGAAATCTTTCATCCAAGAGTCTTTGGGATGTTAGAGGGAGGGCGATTAGCTATGGAGTCTGGAAGAAAGTAGGAATGGTGCTGGCGGACTTGTGGCACCCTCAGTGCTGCTGCAGGAAGGAGCGAGAGGGATAAGCAGGGAGCTGATGAGTGACCCTGTTTCTCCTCCCCACAGCCCTCCACCTCGTCGGTCGCCTCAGATGAGAAGGTTGATTACGTGCAAGTGGACAAGGAGAAGACACAGGCACTGCAGAGCACCATGCAGGAGTGGACTGATGTGCGGCAGTCCTCGGAGCCTGCCAAGAGCGTGAAGCAGTAGTGCCTGCAGCAGGCATCAAAGCAGGCCAATGTCCTGTCAGTTTTCCCCAGCTCCTCTTGAGCTGGATTTCTAAGACTTGTCTGTGGAGGGAAGGGGGTCTCATTATTTTTTTTTCTCTTAAAACAAAACAAAACTTAATTTCAAGGGAAGACTTGGCGGATACTGTTTGCCAGTGATAAAGACCAACTATGTTCGGTGGCTAGTTTTGTGCTTTTAGCTGCTGGATGCACTATCCAGGAACTTCGACTTAGCAATATCAGGTTTCACCCTACACATCTTTTGCTTGCAGCTGTCAAAGCCACCTTGTATGTGCTAACACTGCATCATCTCTCCCCGTCTTCTTCCATACCGTACCCCAAACCATGCCATGCAGGTTTGCAGCCTCTCCCATGGGACATCATTCCTCAGCTCTGATTCTCCATTCCTTATGGTTGTCCTCTTCTCTGCCTCATCCCAATCCCAAAACTTAGCAAGGACCATTCCTTTTGAAATCACTTTTGTTGTCTGATCTCTTGTAAATAATATACTCAAAACCTCTGAGGGCTGTTCTCCTCCTGGTCAGAACTGCCCCTGTGGTTTTGGTTGGAGTTGTTAACTTTAAAGAGCTTGAGGAGCATCCACACTGTCGCATTGAGCTGACTTAGAAGCCCAGGATTTACCCCATCGTGCACACAGACATGCTGGCACACACTCACACAAGTTTGTTGGGGTGTCTTCTGTTGATATTTTCCAGCATCTCTCAAAGTCAATGGGCTGCAGAGATTGGCTTTGGAAGGTAGAATTTAAGCCCTGACCCACTGCCTATCTGAAATCACTTCCTGTGAATCTGATTCCAAGAACCAAAATCTGCCCTTTGTGGCACCAAAAGAAGCCCATATAGTGAGAGTCCTACATCTGTGGCCATTGTGAGAAGCTCTGAGGGGTGCAGGGGGGCTCTGGAGACCCTGTGTATCTGGACTGGTGTAAGGATGAGTGACAAGAAGGGAGTGGAAGGCTGCTGCAAGGATGGGGAGAAGGCAGATGGAGAGGTTGGTCTTGAGTGAGGAAGTCTGGTGGAACGTTTCTTGGAAGAAAGGAGGAGAGTAATTGAAATGTTGGTTGATGGTGAGGTCATACGCTTGGGAAGAGGCTGGTCAGGACAGTCAGGGCAAGATGTTTCAATATTAGCTTTAACATAGCATTATGGTTGGTTTGTGGAAGGTCCAAAAGGCTGGACTGTTTTCTCCTCATCTTCAGCGATGTTCATCGCAGAAATGGGGCTTGCTGACATTAACAACCCTACACTGTGATTATGGGTGGGAATCTGCTGTTGCCCCTTGCCAGCATCCTTAACACATCCGGGCTTTGGGATCACTCTCCAGGCAGCTGCTGGATGCAGAGAGACAAGAAGGATGAGACAGTTTAATGCAGAGATAATAATTCATGATCTCATGAAAACAGGAAGAACTTATGATTACCATGGAGCAGCCTGATTGCCAGACAGCAAGCGCTGACACGGATAAGCAGGTTGACTGCAAACCGAGAGCCAAATGAAGGAGACATTAGAAAGATGAGGTAATAATATTTATTAAATAGCTGGAGCTTTTCCTTCTGCAAGCTGAACCTCTCCCAGTGCCATGAGCTCTGTGTTCCACCAAACCCACCAAGTTGTATTGATTATTAATACTTAAGCATTAACACATTTGTTTAATCTTGGTTTGAGTTTGGAAAGGGCCAGACATGACCCACACGGGATACCAGTCCCTTAAGGGTATGCTGGTAAAATAACTTTTGAACTTCCAACACCATTTTACATTTTCTTCTTGCATGCCATGACAGGGAAGGATGTTAATGGAAAAGCTCTGAAAACCCATTTAAGGCACGGAAGTGTTGGGCTTTGACAGAAATAATGAAGCAAATATCCTAATGCTCATGGTAAAAATAATAACCACTAGAAGAAAAAAAAACCCCAAGGGGAAGATTTAGCACAGTCAGATGCTTTCTGAAGGTCAGGGAGTGTGTTACAGCCTGTAAGGGCCATTGCCTCCTGTTGGGGTCTTGCACACTTGTCTGGTGAGATGATGAAGGCTAGAGTACCCCTTTCATCACTGCACCTCGCTACCGTGGAAGTGGGCAGGCAAGGTGGAGGCAGCAACGGCAGTCATTTCTGATGGTGGAGGGACTTGAGACACAATGGGTTTGATTGAAACACGGTGGGTTTGGATGCAGTTTGCTGAGTGGGTGCCCTGTGCTTCTGCACTGGGACTAGGTGCGTCCAGTACCCACTCTCACATATAATCCAAAGTGTTAATTAAGACTGAAAAGGCCTTTTGTGATACTGGAGAGACTAGGCCTTTCTCTCCACATTTCACAAATGTCTGTATTTGTTCACAGGGCAAGCACTGGCATGGGATAGCACTTTTCCCAGGCTCAGATCCCCTGTTTTGATGATTTGCTCTCATGAGCATCGCCAGTAACTGGCCCGTTGCATTTGGCAGACCAAGGACCAAAACAGCCCAAAAGTAGCTATTTTACAATGCTGGTTGCTCGTCCCTCTCTGCTTTGCAGTGAAGTCTGTGTTTTCACAGAAACAGATACGTTTCTCCAGCTTTTTCCCCTGCTATGCACCAAGCAAACAGCATCTCCAAACTGAGTAGAAGCCCACAGACTCTATGCCTTATAGACATGACTGTATCAACCCCTCCTGAAAGCCGTTAAGTAATCAATGGCTTGAGTGGAAATAGTCATCTGTGACGATTGCTGAGCTGATTACAGCAGTCCCTGATGATTAATGTTTGTGCAGTATTTAGTCTTAAACCATACTGAAAAGCAGCTGCTTTAATCACATGGACTGCCAAGAACTTTGTCCTGAAGGCATTGAGTTTATCACATCCACTCTATACTTGGATACTCAAGTATGACTGACTCTTTTGTTAGAAATACGTATTTTAGGAAGCTGAGAACATTGCAAATTATTCATTTTAATTGCAATTAAAATGGCTTGAGCCTTCACGTCAGAGCCTGCTCTGCAGCTCTACGGTCCCATTTAGAAAAGGGATGTGCTTGCATGTGTGTGGCAGGACAAGCATCATGACCTCAATTACTTACTTTTTATGAAGTACCAGGGCCATGGCTCAAAGCTTTCCCCAAGCTTTAAAATTTCTAAGCTGTTGGGTTTAAAGGCAAAAGTCTCCAAAAGTGTGTATCCCTTGCTGTGAGTGTGCAACTGCTGCACACTCTCTGGTGAGTTGTGTGAGCTGCCTTGGAGCTGATTTGCTCTGAGCTGACATTTGAGTGTTTAGTGTGAAACACATTTCCAGCTCTAAATGGATGCCAGGCTTAGGCGTAGTCTCAAGTTGGAGAAAGAAAATATGTGTGAGTGCAGACTGTGCCAGGGCAAAGCCGAGAGTCTGGCAGATAAGGATAAATACAGAGCCAGAACCAAAAGGTAGCTAAGGCTTGGGTTGATGGGAGCTAACTAGTATAGATTTGGACACTGAGCAACAAGCCACTGACAAGGCTGATGTATGGGGGAACATGTGGTTGGAAGGAGA